CATTCAGAAAATTTGTAGAAATAAAGGACGTGTAAATAAGAACAAAATACAAACCACTCTCAGCCTTTTAAGTATATTTGTGACATCAATCTTTGGCCCTTCTGACAAATTTCCTCCACGATTGTCAGTATGTGTCAGAAATAAAGAATTCGATAACAAATAAATATATATATATATATAAAAAGGAACAAATCGGGGGAGGGGGGACATGAAAGTTACTAAAGAAATTAGAAATAGAAAAAAAATAAGAAATATCAAAACAGCTCATCTCGTCACCGATATTAAAAACTTCCCTTTACGAACACAATGGGAAAAGCAAAAATCAAGTTAAAAATTGTTCATTCCATTCACATCATTCATTGTACCCTTGAACGTACAAATATAAAAAAAAAGGGATTAACGCTATGGATATGAAATGTAAAGTGTATACAGGGAAAATCAAACAGAACAGTTCTACAAGTGGCAAGCCAGGTTGATCATGATAACAACAATAACAATGTATGAAAACTGATAAGAAAGAAAAGAAAGGAAGAATAGAAAAATCCAAAGTCATGGAATAAGAATGATCATAATGATAACGATAATAATAATAATATTTATAGCAATAATAATGATGACAATAATAATAATAATAATAATAATAATAATAATATAATAATAATAACAATACTAATAATGGACAAGCACAATGGTATGCAAAAGTAGATGATTTACACCAATTTCATAATACTTCATTTTATTCATTATTCTTTCTACATCTCGAACTATCAATATTGATAATCAAACTACAAAGTTATAATAATAAAAATTCAATAACAAATAACCACAAACAAACAAAATCATCATAATCATAACCACAATATTCTCCATATATTCATACACCTTAATACTGTGTACATCATAATCACCAAAACATGAGAAAGAAAGAAAGAAGAAAAGTAAAAATATAAATTAATACTTATTTGACACTAAATATCTGTACACTGTTTAGTATCAAGCTAGAATACCATATGCCCCAGTACAAATATCCTATACTGAATGTGGCAATACTGCATGTTTGGTGTATTTTTACCATCTCTTTTTCAGTCATGTCTAATTGTACACTTGAAACAATTTCTATGAATTATTTTCCTCTGACTTTTCCTAGAGCCCTATACACACTAGGGGTATGATGTGTGCCGTCTTAGATCCCCACTTCGAGTTCTGAATTCTGAAGTGGCAATTTTGTGGTGCTCTTGGAGTTTTTGTGTCAAGGGAGAGAGAGGAGGGTGAGAGAGGGGAGAGAGAGAGAGAGAGAGGGGAGAAGGGGGGAGAGAGGGGGGAGAGAGGAAGAGAGGAGGGAGAGAGAGGAGGGGGAGAGGAGAGAGGGGGAGAGAGGGAGAGAGGGGGGAGAGAGGAAGAGAAGGAGGAGGGGGAGAGGGAGGGAAAGAGGGAGAGAGGGAGAGAGAGGAGGAGAGGGAAGGAGGGAGGAGGAGAGGGAGGGAAGATATTTATCAAAGAATATCAGCATCATACTCTATGATGTCTTGGACTCCAACATTTTGAAACCACGCAAATATTCATGCCATTTTGTATTGTTGCAAAAAGGTACAGATTCTCAACCCACCTCTGGGTTACAACACACAGCACAGTACACATCAAATCCCTTTGTATGGATAGAGTTTTCTGTGAAAGCAATGTGTAACTTGCATTGTGAAATCTATTTCAATAAAAATGCCTATAATCTTCTAAGTAGTCCATGGTAATTTTAAGATTCCCTGTTTTTCCTGAATACATGTGGTAACAATGTTCCCTTTCCAAAGTACCTGGTAAAGCTAATGTAACAAGTTTTCTTTGCCCTAAAAATCCCTAAGAATGATCAAATAAAAAAATGAATTTTGTGTGACAATTTTTTTTTGTATATCAAGCACTCCTGTGTAACAAGTAATGTGATACTTCCTCCAAGCAAAACAGTAAATCTTGTATGCTACACGGCATACATCAACTAGTAAAAAGGGGTATAAAATTCCATCACTCATACACAACCATGGTTTATATTATATACCTTCACTTCAATATAAAACATTCCAGTTCCAGAAAAGTTAAACACCTTACTGCCATCACAAAAAAGCGATCAGATCACTTTGTGGTGCTGATATCCTTCTGCTGAAGCCCTTCGTACAGCCAAGAGCAAATCATTCAGACTTAGAATACAGAATTATCACATGGCTGAGATTCAATGAAACAGTCCATACACAACTTGGTCTGCTCTGCCTTATAATACAGGCTAAATAAATAATATATTTATATATATATATTACATCATGATCTGAAGTCTTAAAATTATTGTTCAATATGTACATCCATAAGTTCCAAAACCATAACAACAAAGTATTTGAGCCATATGAAATGAATCCATACCTACCAAGGCAGCAATATTAAAGGCCTAAGAAAATATAATATAAAAATTTGCTGTGATAAAAACACTGCCTTGTAACACAGGCATCCATGACGACCACTGAACACGAAATTGCAATGTTTTACACACACTACATGATAAAAATGAGAGAGAAGACCAGAAACAGAAGGAAAAGAGAAATTACATACAGTGCAAGTATAATGAACAATCTCATAATACCCTTCACCATACAAATGACAATGCCACATGCACATAGAATGACAACCATCACAGTTTTCAGGTTCAAACTGCTATTCTATATGCAATGATCTGCCCATGATAAGGGTACCCACAGGAGAGAACATTGCCTAGATGTTAACATGTATGGAAAATTAAAACTGAACACCACATTCTCCAATTTTATCATGTTACTAACATTCTACAAGTAATATCCCAGACAAGTGTCTAGAATACAAGCATGCCCATTTCATACATAAAACACACTTCACAGTTTACAGACGTTCACAAGAATTTTGATCTTCGAGCCATTTCTTTACATATCCCTAAAGTACAAGTATTGCATCTCTGAAAAATATAAATATTCTGTCCTATTTTACATACCAATTTCCCTAACATGCTATCTCCTACACTAAGAAGTTATTGGTAGTGCAAGAAAGAAGTGTGGAAATTTTCTCTTTATCATCTGAAGATCAAAAGAGTGATATACATCACTAACTCTTTAGGATGCAATATAGGTATCCAATACCATGATAAGACGTTAAACCTTATGCTTCTTAGCGAGACTGCGAAGACAAGACATTCGCTTTTTTTTTTGTCTAATTCTGATTTCATGAAAACTGTGTAAGGCAAGACAATAATGCTATGGTCTTCAGTCTAACATATTATGCACTGAAACTACAATTCAATTCAACTTATCGACAAAACAAACATCAAAAACAATAGTAACGACAATGAACACCATTTCTCATTATCAAAAATTTCCAAAAATGACCATGCCATCATCTTTACCATTCATATCATTACTATTACAATAATGAATATGAAGCAGTAATCTTTGCAGTAGTAATAGTAGCATAAGTAGTAATAGTAATAGCAGTAGTTGTGATTATAATAATAATGATAATTATGATGATAATAGTGAAGATGATGATAAATATAATAATTTTTTCAAATCATAAAAACAATACTAAACAACAATATTCAATATCTAGTAATGATAATGATGATAAAAATAATAATTATAACAATAATAATAATAATAATAATAAAATTATCAATATGAATTGATAAAAAATAATGATACTACCAATAATTGCAATAATAGTGATGATGATACTACTAATAATAATGACAATAATAATAATAATGACAATCATAATATCCATAATAAAAAAAATCCTCATCATCATATAACAAACGTAAGAACTGTGTTCCACATTATCACATACTCTCACTGAACTTAAAAAAGAGAAGACTGAGAACTAGACAATCTGAATTCCTCTTTATCCCTAATTATCATTCCTTCCTTCTTTTCTCCCTCCCACTGGCTCGACACTAAAACCAGAAACGGCAAACACCTGAGCCGCCACCGTCCGCGTCTCCCTCCTCGACATCCAGGCCTAGACTCTCAACCACTCCCTGAGAAGTGCTTGGTACGCAGGATTCCATTTAGGTGCTCTCCCCCTTCCCCTGTTTTATTCTACCCTTCCCCCCCCACCCTACCACCACCCACCCCCCCCTTCCGAAGCCGCTATCAAATCCGTGTAACGTCTTCTGTTGTCTGATGGCTAGAGGGAGGGTGGAGGGTTGGGTAGGGAAGGGAGTGAAGGCAAGGGTTGATAGGTAGGGGGAAAAAAAGATGAATGAAAATGAGAAGTGGTCACTCTTTCATAGCAAAAAGAAGAAATAAAGAGACAAAGAAAAAAGAAAAAGAAAAATTATCCATATTTCACTGATAACTGCATCTATCAGAGCATGATACGTAACAAATAAAACTTCATTATTAAAAAACTACGAGTCGTGTGTATATGATGATACTCCAACACTCGTTCCTAACCCGGACAATCTTCAGCCAATGAAAAAGCATGTGTCAAGAGGAATTTCTGCCACCATGCCCTTGTGGAGTTGCTACGCTTCTCACTATTCCACAAAGAAGTAGGAACTTTGTGTGGCCAGGACTGTCCAGGCTCAACATCCAGTACAGTTGCATTATGTAATTCGTTGGCCATTTCTGGACTGTATTCGTATTGTTTAACTCAACATGTTTAACTTCTAAGCTCGTCTTAGAACACATATCTAAGGCCTTAGCAGACAGTAGTGACATTCCTGGCCTGGAAATGATAACTGTTGACATTCTTGAAATTGAAAAAATATTAAATACAAAAATAAAACTGCTTATAGACTTCCAAATTTCAAGGAAATTATACATGGATAGTAAAGAAAAGAAGAAGAAAAAAAAAAAATCCTTTCGCAGGTAATCATACAGGAAATCAATTTTCCTTTCTTTCAAACTAAGGTGGAAAACAGGTAAATGTCTGTAGGTAATAAAGTCAAGAACAAAAGGGTTAAACTCAGCAAAAAAAAAAAAAAAATAAAGGAATAAAATGCTCATCTCAATTTTGTATATCATCAAATACACACCTGTGCATCTGAAGACCTGTTTCAGTGGTTCATTTTCCAAATAACTGTTTTAAGTCAATGTAGCTTTCTGCAAGCGACAACATAAGCAACAACAGAGAATGCTTTTGTCTGCTCAAGGCATCAGACAACTAATACTAAACCTAATCATTATGATCATTATTACATACTACATTATAAAATTTGGATGTGACTATTGTTAACAATGGCTTATCATACATGATACATCTGCACATCTTACAGGATGGTGGCAAGGCCTATGTTAAATACAGGTGTCAGGAGAATGGCTGGAATATGGTTGTTTACCTCTTAGAGCTTTATTTTTGTTGACGTCCCCCTTGGTAAGAGTTATGGGGTCGGAACTACATTTCCTCGGGTTTCCGAGCGTTACAAGAGTGCTTGCTATTGCCAGACCACCTGAAAATAAAGTTGGTCTGTTCTCAAAATATGCAATAACGAAACACAAAACAATTAAAATTATATTGCTCTATCTTTTACTTTGTGAATATATGGTATATGTAAACAATTTGGATAAGATAAAGCATGCATTCCACATCATCAGTGGGCACCTGGAACACAAAGTAAGTATACTGGATACCTCCCAGCTATACTCTTAGAGTTCCTATAAAAATATAGTTTATAGCAAGAAAATGACAATCTGTTCTTACCTGGATGTCCTGGCGGTGTGAAGGGTTCCCCACCGGTAGGCAACTGAACCAGGAGTGAGAGGACGGCTGCTCGGTTCCCACTGCAAGGCTCCAGGGATTAGGACTTGGGTTGATCTGCTGGAGTAAGTTTTCACCAATCAGCATCACTACAGTGTTTATCTTTATCTGTCTAATTAGTTATATTAATAAAGTTGAAAAAAAATAAAAAGCTACATCCAATCAAAAGATATGACTCATTGAAAATATTTTTTGGATGTAAGCCCCTTCCATAACAGCTCTAAAATACCCAAGAACCTCTAACCTTCTTTCTCTTCTTGAGCGTCATCATGCCATCTAAGGTGTCTGAAGGAAGGCTATCCGGTGACGTTGCATTGCTCATTACATTATTGCAGGACTTCATGTTGTTAGCCTTGAATACTCCCTTGTTTGTGGAGTTGGAGTTGAGGCTGGACAATGAGTTGGTTGTGGCATTGGTCAGGGAGCTGCTGATGGCATTGGCAGTGCCATTGGTGCCCAAAATGTTGCAGTTATTGGCCAGGGTCGTTGTGGTGATGGCGGTGGGGTTGGCGTGGTGTTGGTGGGAGTGGGGCAGATGATGCCATTGGCGTTGGGGGTATCGGCAGAGCCTCTCGGATAGAGCTCCAGGAGGATGGGGCGGAAGGGACGTGATGCCATGGCTTCCATCTCCACCAAGAGACGCTAAAGGAACAAAGCAAAAAATTAAGAGATCTTGGAACTTCCTCCTTCCCAGTTGGGAGATATGGTGAAAGATCATGCTACTCTACAAACATATAAATCTTTCATTAAAGCCAAAGTATTTACCAGTTATATTTGTTTTTTGAACTTATTTCTAAGGATAAAAACAGTTCAGCCCTGTCTTCCTTTTGTCAAATAAAAACACCAAAAGCTGGATCTTTCAAACAAAAATACAAATAACTCTCCTCTACGTTACCTGTCTCCTGGTATAAATGTCATATTTTTGTTTGATCTTCCAAAGTATAGCTGCTAAAGTCAGTAAAATCAGGAAACATCTGAAAATAAACAGAACATATCTTATTCTAATGAGATTACTATCCCAGTTAAAGCCATGAAATACAAAGTAACATGGAAAAAAAATAACTTAATTATAGTGATAACAATTATATCAAATAGTTATATTCATTTGCACTCAAACTTTTGTTGAAGATAACACTGACAGTAAAGGAACAGAACCTAACCCAAGAATAAATCAAAAAGTCAATATGTCAATAAAATTCATCTTTTATCTCAAATAAATTCATACACATACTGTAAATACAAAAAATATATGTACACAGAGAGACAACTTAAATGCTTGTAAATAGGCATTCATGTATGTTATGTTTGGTCTTTCCATCTTTCTCTCTGCCTTCCTTTCCCCTCCTCTTCTTTTCCCATTTCTTTTCCCACCTCACTTCTGCTTTTTCTTATTTTTCCTCTTTTCCCCTCCTCTCTATTTTTTTCTTTCTTCCTCCCTCCTTTACTCACTCAGTATCTTTCTCCCACCACCTAATTCCTTCCCTTTCTCTAACTCCCTCCCTCCCTCCCTTTCTCTAACTCACTCCCTCCCTCCCTTTCTCTAACTCACTCCTCCCTCCCTTTCTCTCACTCACTCCCTCCCTCCATTTCTCTTATCCCCTCCTCCTCCCTCCCTCCCTCACTCATTATCTCTTTACCAAATAAAAGATACAATAGCCACTTACAGTGAGAATATGGAGAAGAACTGCACAAGATCCAGCTTGGGGTGTTGGGAGAACGATACAATGATCTCTATGGGAGGCGTGAAGTTGTAGACGTAGACGTGAAATGTTGTGTTGTTGTCTGCTGACCCGAACGTGTAATCCGAAGAACTGAACCTCTTTTTGATTCTTTTACCAGTAAAGTTGCGTATGATCCAAGTTTCGTGACTATTTGCTGTGGATGGGACAGGATTACATACATGATGATTAGAAGAAAGAATTTAAACTTGCACAGAATCATATTGTCACATAAACAGGTAGAAAGTAAGATAAGAAGAAACAAAACAAAGATACAGATACAAATACAGTATTATAAGCCAAGGAAACAAGAAATAGATAAATAAAACAAAACTAAGCAAAAAATACATATCCAACATGTCTCTTAATCCGTTGATTTAAGGCAATCACAAGGCCCAAAATACGGGCATTAGGTTTATGTGAGCAGCCAGTCTGATGGGTGCTTATAGGCTGGATGCACGCTAACACTTGTGTGCAGTGACAAGACTCTAGGCTGGTCATGGCAGCCACAAATAGGATGCTAAGCATGGAAATGTCATTATCCCTGGAGCCAGCGCTCCTCCAGACAATGCTCACAGACACTACATTTCACACTCATTGACTGATGGGAATAATCTGTAGTGGACCCTGAAGTTCACTTGTTCATTTTAATTACATTTCTTTAAATCTTACTTATCTTAAGCCTTTGCTTGGAGCAGTATACCTTTTTAGTGTGTATTTTTTCTGATTGGTTGTATTTCAATTTAAAGTATTTTTACTATTTTTACCATGTTTTTATGTGCCATTTTTCGTGTGTTTTTAGTGTCTTTTTAATACACCTATAAACTGGCAAGTGCTACCCATGTTTCCACTCATTCCAAATTACCTGTGATATACTTTAAATAGATCTCCAGCCAGCCCCAGCTCAAGGTGGACTTACTGGTGAACAGGTGGTTAACTACAATGCAAAAGCCACTTTCTAAATGCCTAAAGAGTCTTATCACCACCTAAGAAGTTTGCGCACTCATGGCGAGTCTTTTTCATCACCTAATTTTCAGATGAAATGCTCATGATGGCAAGTTTGCATCACCCATCCATCAAGCTACATTTTTTGATGACGTGTGGCCCAAATCATCCGGATCAAAGCGTTAAGAAAACTACAAAGACGGGGCAATCACTTACTCATTTTAGATGAAATCTTGATGTTGGTTGCCTTCGAACATTGTATATCGAAGTCAGTATCTACATCACTCTTTGTTGGCACGTTGAAAAAGTTGATCTGGCGTATGTGACGATCCTCATGTTTGGAGAGGTTGAAAGTAAACTGATAGTCTATCTGAAGGTCATCTGTACAGGAAACAGGAAGTATTTATCTATCATATCTAAGAAAACAAAATAACGGTCTTCAAACATATTCACCCAAGTAAAAATATTGATGTATAACCTAAAAAATCTGTGAATCTTTTTGCTCTTGTTATCAAAATTGTGCAAGACAGCATTAAACTATAAATTGAACAAGAAAAGAAAATCTATAGTCATATAGTGCTAAGGAAACCATTCTTCCTTTTAAACAATTTGATACCAGAAGACTGAGCTTTTATTGATTATGAATACACTCACAGAAACAAGATCCTTTCAGGGGTTCACCAACATAGTTGTTTTGAGTATCACATCGGTCACAGTGATCACCAGTTACCCCTTTTGTGTGACAATTGCAGCGTCCAGTCTCACGATTGCATGTGTCACCATGCTCATTGCACATACAAGCTGGTAAGAAAAAAAGGGGGAAAAATGATGATCAATAATCATATCTATGTCTCGTCTTAAAAGAATATAATACATACATTGGAAAGGATAAAATATATAATTATACATATATGCATTCTAAAAATAATAATAAACATAAAATTTCCCTATTTTGACTTCGTCATTCATACCAAACTAAAATTTTGCAGCAACATTTTTCTTTCACCCAAAACAACTCACGTTTGCAGAGTCCGCCATTAATTGGTTTTCCAAAGAATTTCTCCACACAGTACTGGCAATGGGATCCCCCAGTATTGTTGGCACAAGGCTCGATGCACTGACTGTGATTCTCACAAGTGCTGTGGCCGTTACAATTGCATACTGAAAAAAAAAGCCATTGAATACCATGTTTTTTTTTTTAATGTCTTATATATTACAATACAAGGCATACAAAATCTAGCACAGCATATAATCACCAAACACTGAAATAAGAACAAATTGTATCTCAGTAGAAAATGAAAGTAAACTATGATGACACCCACAAAAATTGCATCTCAGTCCAACAAGGGAAACTCACATGGGCACTGGGTGAAGTACCAGTTCGGACTGGGGCACTTCTTCCTCTGAGTGGCTTTGGTAACTGGGTTAATGGGGCCTCTCTGACCACCCTCCATGCAGGTGCCAATTCCTGTACCACTTCCGTCATCGCACCAACCACATGCAACGTCTGCTTGGCATTTCTCACATGTTTGGTGGATGCTGCAGCGGCTCATTCCTGCAACGGAACACGAGTGGACATGTGCAGTGAATATGACATGAGCTAAACTGCAACTTCAACCTCTACTTTACATACAGAAGAGCAATGAAGAGGAAAGTGAAAAAATATAAGAGAAAATAACAAAAGATAATACTTTAAATACAGTATATGATACGAGAGACAACATAATGAACAATGTAATACTTTAAAAACAAAGGCAATATGAAAAAATAAATAACAAGACATACAATGTACACTTACCAGGCTCCACATCCATGCATCTCTTGGATTCTGTTGTCCATTCTCTACACTGACCGTAGGGGAAACTGACCAAATAGGAATTATTCTTGACACACCGCTGCTGATTGAAGCACCACATGCACGAACTCTTAAAAGGTACAAGAGACAACACAGAATAAGGAATGGGCTCACAAAACACTTGGAAACATTATAAGCACTGTCCAAGAAATGCTGGGCATTATATCATCATCATTTTCATTACCTGTGTGCAGTTTGTACATGATGTCCTCTGTGCACAGGTAGGCTGACAAGGCTTGTGAGAGAGCAACGTGGCCCTGTACCACTAGCCATGTCTCTATCTATCTGCACTGTTTGTAGAGTATTCTCCGAGCCAAGGCTGGGATTAGCCTCTCCAGCCGCTCCATTAGTAAGAGCAGTTGTCATTGTCCTGTTGGGTGCTGGAACACACTGTTTTTCCACCCAGTCGCAGTGCTGGTGTGCCGACACAAGGGGCAGGTGCTGAGCGCTTTGCATCGTGACCGCAAGCCATCCTCACAGCCTTCCTCACTCACCACACCCTGGAGAGCAAGTAACTATTAAACTGTGCAAGCAACTGTGCCACCTAATACTCTTGGCTTCAAAACTTAGTTCATTATCTTCCCTTAATTAAACCATTTTCAGTCCATTTAACTATATTTAGTTTAAAAAAAAGTAAACCAAACAATACAATAAAATTTAGTGAGTTGACATGCACACCATTCTAACTGTCCGTGTTAACTGAACATTTGTGGAAAATCAAATCAAATCATCTTGGAAGGACAGTCTTCTTGAAATGATCCCATTAGCTAACCAATTCAGAGCACAAGTTATGTCAGGCTAGTTACATTGCATTCCATTAAGTTGCCATCCTTATGCTGACCTTAATAGTTTTTCAGGTTATCTCTTTTTCTTCGCTTTTAGAAAAGACAGAAAGAAAGAAAAAGAAAAGGAAAAAAAAGAGAGGAAAAATGCATATATACATATAAATAAATAAATATAAACACATTTATATAATACATATAAACATATATTACTGAATATTAAATATATATTAAAATATATATATAAATAATATATATATATATATATATAATATATATAATTATATATAATATATATATATATATATTATATATATATATATATATAATATATATAATATATTATTATATATATTATATATATATATTATATATATAATATATATATATATATATATAATATATATATATATAATATATATATATATATATAATATATATAATAATATATATATAATATATTATAAATATAATATATAATATAATATAATATAATATAATATAAATATATATATATATATAATAATATATATTATATATATATATATATATATATTATAATATATAATATATATAATATAATATATGTATAAATATATAATATACATATAAACATGTATATACAAAATAATATATATATACAAATATGTGTATATATGTATCTATATATATATGTAAATATGTATATATATGTATATGTCTAATATGTATATATGTATACAAGTATATATATGTATATAATGTATATATATAATTATATATATATATATATATATATATATTAATATATATATATATATATATATATATATATAATAATATATATATACACATATATTGAAAATGCCGCATTCCCTAAACATTCACCAAAAAGTAATACGGTATTGCAAGATCATTTTTAGAAAAAGTTATCAAGGAGGCAAAGACTCAAACAGAATTCAATGTGACAAGTGCAAAAGAGGTGTGAACGGGACAGAATAATTCCATGCTACATGATATGCAATATTTCAAAATCACATAGTTCATCAGAATTGTGCAAATCTAATAAAGACATTATATATAAAGGCATTAATTGCAAAGCTTGTAATGTGGACTTGTCTATTTTCACTTATATCAAAAAAAGCATGAACTTCCAGATGTTTGATTTTAGATAAATAGGTTTTTCTTTACTTTCAGGGCAAATGTATTTTCTATATTGTACAATATTTGAAGATGCTCTCATTTATCGTCTTCCTTTTTAATAATTGCAAAGAAATGGTAAATATATAAATGGAAGCTCCAATAAATATATAAAATACCATAAAAAAAACTTGTTTATTTCATATTTGAAGATTTGGAAATAAATCTACGACACACAATTGACTCAATCCTTCATTCACGCTGCTACACACCCCACTTCACAATAACCACAGTACAGAATTATACCATGAATCAACAATC